CCCCCCCCCCCCCCCACTTTTTTAAAGCCCTCCTATGACCCCTTATTACCCCATATAAGGAATTCCAAAATTCGGGAAAGTTTTGCTTGTGGAATCCGGAATAATGCGGAAGAATTCGGAATCCCACCAACGATTGAAATCCAGACTCCCAAGTTCCAATGTCAAAGACTGGAATCCAGTACTTGGAATCCACGATCCAAGACTGTCCTGTTTTCCCTTACATGGGGCGACCCTTAAGACGTTTTATAAGCCCAGGATTTTTAGCGGAAGTTTACAGTATGTAAAAAGTCTAATGACTTTGATGGACTGGTGTTAAAGGCTAAGATGATCCACTTTCAGTAACAGAGCCTGATTTTGTAATCTTGCCTAGTGTGTAGTAATAGATGTAGAAAACTTGTCGTACATTTGCAAGGTATCTTTTCTTCGTTGTTTTATAAGTAACGCAACTGAGGTTTTTATCTTTTATCTTTTAAAATATCTCATGTTAAGGTATGAATATTTATGTAGATTCTGTGCTCACCACTCAATCATCTCATTTTGTATTCACTGCATTTTGACCATAAAAATGGAGATTTTTGCATCTCTTGGTATAGCATGTTTATTCTTCGTTGACTAGATACCTACTTTAAATGACCTAATCATAACTATAACAAAATTGTCAAATCTGATTGGTTATCAACTGCCCTGATTTTAGCCTTAATTGGACAGTTTAATAGGACAGTACGCGTCATGCCTAAGTAATTAGAAAGTACGCGCCATCACGTGCGCGCTTAAATGGCTTTTTTTTCACTGCTAGCAAAACAAAATTTCGAATTTCTTGTGTTTTGATTTAAAAAACAGCCTATTATATTACAAATTTTGTTAAAGTTATGATTAATTGGTAACAGAACTTCGTGTCGTCCAATTCGGTCTGTAATCATACTCGTGATTAAACAAATCGGACTCCTGCTATGCGGTCGTCCAATGTTGTGAATCACTCGTATGATTACCATTACTAATAAACGCCCACTTGCAAATAAACGCCTCTTATCTAATAAACGCCCCCTTTACACTGTTAAAATTGTATTAGACGCACCTCTCTGATAAACGCCCCCTGTCTAATAGACGCACCCGGTATGAGAATTACTCCAAAATACTAGGAATTGGCAAAAGGGAGCAAAATGATTCGATGCATTCAGTTTCTTGCTTGATTAACAAGGCTTTGCGTATTTCATCTTGGTCAATATCAAAGTAAGGATAGACTAACAATGGCAACACAATAACCCTGAGCGAGGATTCTGACATCGATGTTGGGATTTGAAAGAGCGATATCGATCTCTAGACGACCTAGACGTATCAATTGATGGAGTGGATATTCCACTATTTTTAAACTCTCTTGGTATTTTTTGCCGAAAGCATATTCTTTTGATGAGCTTGTTCCTGCTATTAATAAACGCCTGCTATCTATTAAACGCTCCCGGCTTGGACTCTAAAATTACATAGACTCCTCGGACGCTTCATTATATCATTACGGTATTTGCTGAGTAAGGTCACCTGTAATGTTATCTCGGGATTGCAAAGAAACTGAAGAGACGTTGTCGGTCGAACTCTTTTCTTGACATCTACGTCTCCACAACTCAGTGTTAGTGGAGAGAAGACCTTACTGATAAGAGTTTTCGAAGCTTATGGTAGGTTCCTCATACCTATATTTAACGTAACTCTTTAAGCCCTAAGATCAAAATTTAAATTCTCAATTGTTGCCCCTATTCATTTCCCACAGAAGAAGTGGGGAGAAGTTGATAAAATGTCGAGCAAATTCGTCTTGTGTCGTCATGTCCGTAATTCTCATGGCTACCCTGTTTTGCATAGCGTTGATATGACAAGGAGAAATTTGATGCTGATCACTCTTAGGGCTTAAAGGGCCTACTGTCGCGGAGACTGAGGTAGTGGATACTCCCGTTTTAGTATAAACACCATTTCAAGTAACTATGAGTAAAACGGATCCTTGGATGGTATAGCTGTTAGACTACTTTTACAAGTTGTGCTTCACTTCGTGGTAAAATAGGCACCATCAACTGAAATAAGCAATTTCATTTTGTAATTTCACTGAAGTTTCCCCCCTCTCCATCAAAACTGAACCGTTGCTAAATTAGTATTACAGTATCTCTAGGGCAAGGGAGGGGGAGGAGGTGGTCGACAGTGATATATCTTCAAAAAAAAATCTGCTAACACGTACACCAAAATTTCAAGACCCGCCAATAGACTGCACTCAGATTTTTGTCATCTGCAGAGCCTCGGTACAAGTACATCATGTTTCGCACCACGGATTAGTGTACTACTCGGGTCGAAGACACACCAGGAAAATAATGTCTACGGGATCTACCAGTTTCTTGTTCCTCGTTCTTTGCTTGCTACGCAGGCTATAATATGTCACAATTTCCAATCCCGCGACAGCGAGCTAAATGTGTAGTCAACTGAAAATAAAGGCATGCATTGCGTTGCTTACTTGGGAATCGACTATAAAAGCTTGATAAATAGAATCTAATCGAAAATGAAATCAGCAAACTTTCTTCAACGAATGTGAACACACTTACAATTCTGTAAGGCGTAATCCCGTTTATGACACGGCTATTTTCCTATCTTATTCGAAGAAAAGGTATAAAACATTGTTTTCAATAACAGGATTCTTTCTCATTGAGCCTTCAATTCACCTAATCACGCTAGTCCCACAAGCGAGCTGAAAACTGATTGGCTAAATTTTAAATAGAGGAAATTACACGGTGGCGCGAAGATATGAATTTTATTTTCGAGTGGCAAAACAATATTTTACGAACGAGCGCAGCGAGTGAGTAAAATATTGTTTTTGCCACGAGAAAATAAAATTCATATCTTCAAGCCGCCGTGTAATGTTCTTTTTATTATATAGACAAAATGACATCGATAAAATAATAGAGGGAAATTACCAAAATTACGTCATCGATAAACTCACGTGTGAGATTATAGAAAATAAACCACTCGGGTCCCGGATGTAGCTTTTATGAATTTTACGAGTGGTATATTTTCCAGTAAAACACTCGTGTCTATATAATAAGAAAGAATAATAATCTTACGTGTCCGGTTTTATCGCTAATAAAAACAATAAAAAAGAACCGTGACTCAAAATTGATTACAGCTGTCAACGGAGTGCAAAACACATCATCAAGCCTGTTTGTGAGAAAACAACAAATTGTGTTTCGATGAAATTGAAAATCTCTTTACTTTCCATTGTGCGACTTCCAACTGTAGGACAGAGAACCAGTACCTAATTACCATTCCAGTTCTGTCTTAACTAGGCCTTTATCCACTGAATAGCGCAATTATATGGTTTTCCTATTGCTTTAACCACTGGATAGTAATTTTATCCGATGGATAGTGCTATCCAACGCCTAGCCTGCGTATACTTTTAAGTATCAAAGTTTTCCATTCTTTATAATGATGTTCGACAAGAGAGGATAAATTAAAAGGGGATTACGATGAGTATAGGGCCTATGTGGGGGATTATCTCTGGCCCCTTTATATCCTCTCTTGGGTTCGAGACATGGAATAACGTAAATCCGTCTTCAAAAGTCCAACTTTTGAGTCTAAATGAAACTTCATGTACTGTGACGATCCAAAAGAAACTAGCAGTTCTTTCAGATGGTACTATTTATTTGTTTTTCAATATTCTTTAAAAAGAAATTTGGTATTTCTATAGACATCTCTGGAATGTCAGCATCTTGGGAATGAAAGGTTTGATTCCGCAAACTGACTATGTGAATCTCTATATAGTAAAACCCTTGTCAGCTAACTGTCGCTTTAATCTGTTAAGGTATCCGGGGTCTGGATATCCGTAACTGTGAGGAGAAAAGAATAAAAATAAGCAAGCTTGAGATTGAGATTGCGATTTCTATTTGTTAAAAGTTGTACCAGATTTTCGCTAATTTTCATAAGGGTTGAACAACGAACTTTCCAAGTGGGGTATGCAATGAAAGGGGAGGTTACGCCATACCCTTTTAACAATCTAATACGCTGAAGAGTGTTCTATTAAAAGCAATCATCATTTGAAAATTAATATGTAGTTATTACGTGTTATAATTGAAAAGCTGCCCTGAAAAAACTATTTAATTATCTTCACCACGACTACTTTTCGTCTTTCGTCAGACGGATGTAAATGTATCATTAGTCTGAAGTGCCAGCCGACTCCACCGCTACCAACCTTTTGGGTTATTTTACCCTTTGCCACTGAGATTTCCTTGAGATTTCGTTTACACTTAATTATAAGAGGTAGGGAATCCCAGAAGGAGAATCAGATAGAGTTGGCAGTGGTAACCCTTTTCGTCGAAGTAAGGGTTAATTCGTGCCAAAAACGGATTGTCTTTCAGTCATACCAGAGCACTTCTAAGACGTCTGGACAAAAATGCGGAGTCTTCTCTAGTCCAAACAGCTTAAACGTCTGAGACTAGTAGAAAGAGGTCTATAAAGTGAGTCAATCAGACGTTTTTAACCGTCTGATTTTTAAACGTCTGACTTTAAAAGTCTTTTCGCGTTTAATGCATTTTCCTTATTTGAAGTCGTAACGTATCAGACGTATTGGACGTTCTCTAATATATGTGGCCAGGCACTTCCCTTTGATGTACAAAGAACTTTACTTACTTTGATGGACCGCCTAGTAGACTCGTTTTCAGTTCCAAACCATTGCACACGATACTATTCTCTGCGATTGTGAACATCTGATTTGCATTGAACGCTCTCCTCAAAAGCACGGAGAGCTCTCGCCCCTCTTCGTTGTCAGGAAGGTAGAATGTGCAGAAGTAACAGCAGTAAGGTACACCAGGATTAGGATGGTCTTCGTCTGAAAATGTGAAGTATTATTTGTATATTTTCACAGGCAGCCTAAGCGCACTATGTGAATGAATCCCTGGAAGATGACTATATGGAATTCCAGCCAATTTTAATGCCTTTCTGTCATTTTCCTAGTGTACTTTTAATTAGTTTATTCTGAAAATTAATTCTAAAAGTGCCTACAATTCGAGCCAGAAACGACCAAACCGCGTGATATAATAATACAAGGGATGTCAACCATAGTTATAAGTGGCATTCGCCCTGTAAACAAAGAACACATTCACAAAAAAAAAAATTGAACAGAAAATTACAGTCGATAACACGACACAGATTGCAACCATGGACGTGCTTGTACCTAACCTACATATTGTGTCTTATGCTAATCCTGCGCTCAAATTAACTCATTTAGTCCAGGCAACAAGGGAGAAAGGGATAAACTTTTTTGTATCGCCCATGAAGGACGTCCTGTTTGGAGTCAAAGTATAAATTAAAGCCAAAATGAATAAGAATCCGTTTTCTAATAGTCGAATTCATATAAACCAACAATTAAAAGAAGTACCTTGAACTCCTCTGTCAAAGTTGCAGCTTATTATTATAGTCCCGTAATCTTCATTGCCCGGGAGAAAGTTTCTTGGTTCAGTCCTCCAACTCATATGTCCGTCAGGTTGATCTCCAAATAAGATTCTACCTCCTAAATCCCTTAAGTACTCACACGATACACAGTAACCAAGGGACTGCATAATTTTCAGACACCAATTACAATAGTGATGACCACATGAAGACATTTGCTTAATAGAATTATAGCTGCACAAGTTGCAGGTTAAAACTCGGTTTGACTGGAGACTCACCACGGGTAGGCCTGATATTTGATTATGTGAAAAAACGTAAATTAGTAAAGTTATACTGAGTAAGGTTGGTTATTTAAGAAACTGACAATTAAAATCAAAACTTCCCCTCGCTAGTCCCCTTGGTTCGCGCTCCTTATTCTTTTGTTTGTTTTTTTTTTAAATTTCCTCTCTATAATTCTGATCTTTCTTTCTCTTTTATTTTTAAGTTTACAAACTCAATACGTTAAGATCAGAAGAAGTCGAAAAAGAATCAATATATTATTCCCCCAAAAAAATGATGAGCTAGATGGTTTGACCCGAACTGCTAATCTGTAATTCTAGTCTGTCCCTGGCATAAGTTTGATTATGTTAGTTTCAAAACATTTTTTGACGGCTTCATGATGCACAGACACAACCTTATATATAGGTCCCAAGCAAGCTACCCTCCCTGGTACCTTAAGGGTACATGGTCACCAGAGAATGGTGGTTCTTTCAAGCTGCCCCACAATAGACAGATAAATGAAGTGCTGTGAAATAGTATAGGGCCCGTATTTCGCCGTTACGTATTTATCTAAAAAGGCTACAAGGACTAACCATTTTTACGTTTCAGAACAAAGGCTGTACTAACTTCTTTCTGAAATGAAGCTGGCCAGTTTGCAGTTGTCAGTTGTCTTAATAGGCTATAAATCCGTTTTAGTAAGTCAGGTTCTTCGTGATATCGTTCTTATCTATTACACTTGTAAAACCAGTAAGTTAACCTTCTTTGTTAGACTAGTGTACTAATCGAACTTTTCAAACAACTGAGACTAAGCATTGACAATACCTGTCGGTTGGGATCGCCTTCTCTTTTCATTCACTTTAAGTCGGTATGGACTGTCAACGATTGGCTCACCGTCTACAGTTATACACACTTCAAATTTTCCTGCAATCTTGGGTTTGTATTTTACTTCGTAGCAGCCATTTTTTGAGTCTATTATTTCGGGGACTATGACGTTTCCTGTATCCACTGATCGGATGTCAACACCGACTTTGTCTACGCCAGAGTAAGTTATTTGTCCCTGCGAATTCCTTGTTTCTATCTTAAAAAAGCACACTTCGTCTTCAGTACCTTCGGTAAGTCCCTTGCCATTTGCTGTTGTGAGCATAGGGTCTGTTTTAGTGAAGATTAACTTTCCAAGCAAGTCGTTCATTGACGGTGATGTATCATTTGGAACGTACTTGACGCATGAATAATTCAGATTGACGCGAAATTCTGAAGAAAGTTCTTGAAACCGTTGATCCAGTATTTCTTCCACGTTCAAAATCTCTGGAAGATTTTCTCGATCGAGAACGTCGGTGCTAAATACCAAGCTGCTGTCTATCTCAAAGAGTTTTTCGTCTAAGCGAGACATTTGGGATGAAAATGTACCTTGAAAAGAATTTTTCTGCTCGAGCAACGTTTTGGTCATAGTTGCCTCATTTTGGCGAATGAAGCTGATCCATTGTTCCGCGACTCGGTGAATTTCACTCGTCGCTTGATCAATGTTTCCAAGTATCCTTACATTTTTCTTCTCCAGCGTTTGTTTTTGGTCCCTTAAACGACTTGCAATTGCTTCAACGTCTTTCATTTTACTTGTTATGTCTAATTTTTTGTTTTCAAATCCTTGTTCAAGTGAAATTATGTAGTGGTTATCGTCACGGTGCTCCAATATGGCGCAATCACGACAAATGCAAATGTTGCAGTTTTCACAGTAAAATCTTAACTCATCCTTGTGTTTCTTACATAAGTTGGATTTTCGGGCGTAATCTTGCACATCGCTTGACTCAAATTTTCCAATTTCCTTGACATGATGGTCTTTAAACGACTTCCATTTGCTGTGTGCGCCAGCGCATTCCTCACACAAGAAGGTGTTACAGGCAAAACAATAAAACTTTAGTGGCCTCTTTTCCTCACAGTTCCCACAATGCGGCGAATCATCTTCTTGTCCTGTACCACTATACGCCTCTACAATCTCTACCATCTGTTTGTAGAAAAGGTTGGATGGGAGGCTGTTAATGTTGCTGTCAGGACACTCGGTGATTTGACGACATGTCGGGCAACTTAGCTGTCCTTCACGCTGCCTCCTCAGCCAAGCTTCGAGACAATTCTTACAGAAAGTGTGGAGACATTTAAGAATTTTTGGTTCGTTGACTTCACTGAACAACTCCCGACACACGGAACATTCCAACTCCTTTTTAACATCATCGAAAAAGCGTTTACCTTGAGCCATCGCTGAAGGTAATTAGCGAGACGATCGAAGCAAAGCGATTCCCCGAAAGGCGGAAGTTTAACAACCTCGAATCTCACCCACTCAAAGACTCTTAAACAAGTGTCGTCCCCAGACCACCTTCTCGTATGCTAATTACTGCTATGAGGGGGTATGACACTCCCGAAGCCTCACCCTACCGTTTAGTACTGAAAAAAGGCCTTGAAAATACGATAAATGTGTTTGTGAAAATTTATCAAATTAAAGGACAGTGCCATATATTCCGGAACTAATTCATTTTGTTCCGTTGATGAAAAAAAAGGGGGGTGATTTTTACCTGCTAAACGTTAAGCTTAATCGTTTCTTAATTAACAAGGCTTAAATCCACTCTACCTTTCAAATCCTTTAATAAATTCTTCAAGCGCAATCATCGATAAGTGTCAAATTACACTGCAGGAAATGAGACTCGCACTCAATGGCTGAAGGATGCTGCTATATCCTTTGTTAATTTAATCCTTTTATTATCCTGTCAGTTAGTGTAGGCTGTATGTGCCGCACTCTTTCGTTATGTTATTGACGTGTGCATTTAGTGTCTTTTGTTTGTTATTTAACGCATTACATTTTCTTTGGGTTGTTTTTCCTATACTCATATACCTTGTCAGTAACTCTGCTCACATTGTGGGTGGCTCCTCCTAAAATGGTCTACAATTGGTATAGGATTTAATGCAGCCGAAAACAATCGTCGAATTGCAAGCATTTTATATACTGTAGGCATCCTACTGATGAACAGTTACGACTTTTAGTTATTTCGAGCAACAACAATTTACCGTCTGTCCCCTTTAAATCAATCATACCTGCATGTCTGGTCACCCAATTTTTGTGTTGATTTCATTAGCCCACGCTAAAATCTACTATTTCCGAGTGAAACAATCGAACCTCTTTTAACTACGAGAATTGAGTGGACCCCTGTATTTAGTGACCACTTCCTGGAATCCTGGGCGATAATATTGTCAGTAAATTACTATAAACGGAACACTTATTAAGTGATATACTAGATAGAGGTTTGCCTATAGTTAGCAATTGGCGCCGAAATAAGTATCAGGGGGCTTTGTACTCGGATAATTGAGTTTTTCTAACCTTTTCGAGATGTCCAAAACAGATATGCTATGCACCACTCAGCACATCGTAATAACGAGCAAAAGTTATGTCTTGTGGCGGATCAAGAGTGGCCAGTTTAAGTTCTATATTATTTGCTGATTAACGCTTGCTCTTTTTCTTTATATAAGGTCATACTCTCGATTTAGCTCAAGAGAACCCCTCAAGTGATGTTAGGGAAGTTTAATTTTCTTTTCTAATCCGAAATCCGATGGAGCCCTACGTTGCAGTGTTTAGTCTTTACACAAGAAACCCACAACGCCGTCGTCTCCCTCACTCCAGGTGTCAATCGTCATGACCCTTTAGTCAGATTGTTACCATTCTATGGAGATACCATACCTGAAGTTTTTGGATATTTCATTCCTATAAGACTGGAATATATAAATTACCCTAACAAACGTTAAGTAGTATCTAGTTCAACTACGAGATGAACGGATGCATAGCTTGGATAAAGGGGGCACCACAGGAAGAAAGTTTGCTTCTTAGGTAACTTAGGGGACGCTTCAGCGCTTAAAGGCTCCCCCCTCCCCCATTCCAAGACCTGCCTTTTCCAAATCTTTCCAGACGCTTCTTAATGCAGGCGTGGAGAAAATGAAACGAATTGCGCAACCATTGGCCATTTGTAAGCTAAGACACGTACGTAATATATGTTTAAAAAATCGGAAAAAAACTGCACTGGGAGGTTGCTTGAAAAATAACACAATTTTCAAGTTTGCTAGTGTTATTTAATGAGCTGTTATGGCACCAAAAAACGAGGGACGAGGTTGAGTTGTTTTGGTTGTGAAAACAAAAATGGCGGACATTTCACTCGTTTCAAGAGTAAGAACTAGGCGAAAAAATAGCTAAAAACATGACAAGAACAGCAAGAAGACAACTCGAAGGACGACATCTGCTATTTGGAGAATGTTTGCGGAGCTGAACAACCCTAAACGTGCAATATCGAAGATGAACTTAAATCGATGGAGGTAAGCATGTTTTAGCTATGTTTTTAAATTAGGAATCATTTTAAATGAATAATAAAACAATTGTTGAATTTGGCTTTCGTATCATATGAAGAATTATGGAGATCTCGGAGAGTGTTATCTGCCTCGGCCTACGGCCTCGACGGATAGTACCTTCCTCGATCTCCATAATACTTCATAAGATACTCAGTCTCATTCATTAATTGTTAAATGTTGGCATCATGCGCGTTCTAAATCACGTTTAGTCTCTTCTCTCTCTCTTGCGCACGGTGAAGTGAACGAGACAAACAAGCTTTCACCGATAAAATGAGTAGTTAGTCAAGACGCGGCATGTTTGGGCCTCTAGAGTGTTTTGGTAAGTCACTAATTCTTTTTGGACTGATACACATTACGTTCTGAGTTTGGGATCAAAGGAGTTGTCTCTTGAACGACGGAGGAACGTCCCATGGTTGACATTGTTTCTGGCGATTCCTCTTGTGGAGCATAGCGTTTCACAAACTCTTCCTGAAAGACGCTTAATATTGGTTCATCAATGATGACGATACGCACGTCACGAAGTGTACTAAACTTGGCGTCTTACCTCGAACTGAATTCTTTTATTGCCAAAAACATGGCTTCAGCACAAGTGTCTTTTGGCATGCCGAAAATGCTAGAGCTGATGGCCAGGAGGGCGATGGAAGTAAAGGTTTAATTTCACTGCAAGAGAAAGGGTATGAAAACAAACTTGTCAGAGATGGAATCTGCTCATATCTTTTCTATGATTGTACCACTCTGGACCAACGGTATGAATCACATAGCGACAGGAAAGACTACCGCCACTAGTGTAAACAGCTTCGCCGACATTAAGTGTTTCGTATCGTTTTATTATTCGATTGGACTCTTCTTGTATCTGACGATCCCACTTTGAGTTTCATCCCTCAAAAGAGATGAGTCATTTTGCTTATCAACTGCCGAGACATCGTCCTTTTCCCACAGTCGTTTCCAATAATAGATGATTCATTGACGCTCTGTGACAAATTATTATTTTTGAGATTATCAGTAGCTTGGTGGGGAATGGACCTTTGCTTCATACTACAAGACACAGTAACTTAAGGACTGTTCTTATTATTCGGTAAGTTTTTTGGCGGTAAGCTATCATCTATATTCTCTTCTGGTTGTCCTCAGGGAGAGTTTTCATCCCCTCCCTGTGTAAGTTGTTTGGCGGTGAGCTACCATCTATGTTCTCTTCTCGTTGCCCTTAGAGAGAGTTGTCATCGCTGCCCTGCCAGTTTCATCTGTCAAAGGAGATGAATCTTCTGGCTCATCAACTAGTGAATGTGGGATAGGAGGAGTTACTCTATGCTCATCAGGCAGACTTTCTCGAGTAGTCATTGTTTTTTGCGATGCTTCTCGGGAAAGATATCGGGTAACAAACTCTTTTTGAAAGACGCTTAACGTCGGCTCATCAATGATGACGATGCGCACGTCACGCAGGGTACTGAATTCGGCTTCGTCACTCGAGCTAAATGCTTCTACTGCACTTAGCATAATTTGAGCGCAAATTTCTTTCGGCATGCCAAAAATACCAGAACTGATTGCTGTAAGAGCTATGGAAGAAAGTTCTAAATCCACTGCTGCAATATGAAGGCTTTCCAAACAAGCTCTGTGAAGAAAATGCTTGCAGTTCTCTTTCCCATGTTTCTTCCACTCTGGACCAACTGTGTGAATCACATAGCGACAGGGAAGATTACCGGCACATGTATAAGTAGCCCTGCCAACATCAAGTGGCCCATACTTCTGTACTATCCACGTAGACTCGACTTGTATCTGACGTCCGCCTTTGTTCACTATTGCAGCAGCCACTCCACCGCCGTGCCGAAGCCACTCATTGGCTGCATTGACGATGGCGTCAACCCGCTCATCAGTGATATCTCCCTGATATAAGGATAACTTCACTTCGTTGCTCAGTTCATGTTTCAAATGTTGCGTCTGTAAATATCCTAAAATTAAATTAAAAATCAAAATTACCCTCCATTTCCTCCCCTTGGTTTATGTTACTTGTTCTTGTTTTCTTTTTTTCAAACTTCTTTCTTATTTTTTTATTCTTCTGTTTACACACCCTTCATAAAATGTTAAGATAAAATGAAGTCGAAAAAGAATGATACTTTATTCCCTGAAACAAAAAGAAAAATGAGCTAACATGCTATAACAAGGTTTGTCTGGTTTGACCCGAATTGCCGAATCTACACTGTTCATAATTAGTCTATTGCGCTCCTGAATAAGATTCGGTTAATCATAAATTATATTTTCCCCGCTTTATGATGCACAAGACCCATCATAATACGGGAAGGGGCACAAACGAATCTTATATATAAGTCCCAAGCGAGTTGCCCTCCCTGCATAGCACCACACCCCATGAAATTTAGACACTAACACTGCACTAAGGATGCATGGTCATGGTCAGAAAATGTTACGGCGTTATCGTTTATGGTTCCTTGACGCCCCACGAGAGACAGATCAATGAAGTGCCTTGAAATGGGCCTACAGTATTTCGTCCTACTACAAGGACTACAAGGACTAACCATTTACACGTGTCAGAACAAAGGCAGAACTAATTTATTGTAAGCTAACCAGTTTTCAATTGTCAGCTGTCTTTAGGCCATAAATCCGTTTTAGCAAGTGTTCCTCGTGACATCTATCTTATATCCAATTACACTTGTCAAACCAGTTAACCTTCTTCGTTACTTTAGTGTACTAACCGATCTTTCAGATCTTTTTACACAACTGAGACTAAGCATTTTTGACAATACCTGACGGTTGGGATTGCTTTCTCTTTTCTTTCACTTCAAGTCGGAATGGACTGCCAACGATTGCTTCACCGTCTACAGTTATACACACTTCAAATTTTCCTGCAATCTTGGGTTTGTACTTTACTTCGTAGCAGCCATTTTTTAAGTCTGTTATTTCGGGGGCTATGACGTTTCCTGTATCCACTGATCGGATGTCAACACCGACTTTGTCTACACCAGAGTAAGTTATTTGTTCCTGCGAATCCCTTGCTTCTATCTTGAAAGAGCACACTTCGTCTTCAGTACCTTCGGTAAGTCCCTTGCCATTTGTTGTCGTGAGCATAGGGTCGGTTTTAGTGAAGATTAACTTTCCAAGCAAGTCGTTCATTGACGGCGATGCATCATTTGGAACGTACTTGACGCATGAATAATTCAGATTGACAAGAAATTCCAAAGAAAGTTCTTGAAATCTTTGATCCAGTATTTCTTCCACGTTCAAAATCTCTGGTAGATTTTCTCGATCGAGAACGTCGCTGCTAAATACCAAGCTGTTGTCTATCTCAATGAGTTTTTCGTCTAAGCGGGACATCTGGGCTGAAAATGTACCTTGAAAATAATTTTTCTGCTCGAGCAACGTTTTGGTCATGGCTGCCTCATTTTGGCGAATGAAGCTGATCCATTGTTCCGCGACTCGGTGAATTTCACTCGTCGCTTGATCAATGTTTCCAAGTATCCTTACATTTTTCTTTTCCAACGTTTGTTTTTGGTCCCTTAATCGACTTGCAATTGCTTCAACGTCTTTCATTTTACTTGTTATGTCTGATTTTTTGTTTTCAAATCCTTGCTCAAGTGAAACTATGTTGTGATTCCTGTTGTCACGGTGTTCCAGTATGGCACAATCCCGACAAATGCAAATGTTGCAGTTTTTACAGTAAAATCTTAGCTCATCCTTGTGTTTCTTACATAAGTTGGATTTTCGGGCGTAATCTTGCACATCGCTTGACTCAAATTTTCCAATTTCCTTGACATGATGGTCTTTAAACGACTTCCATTTGCTGTGTGCGCCAGCGCATTCCTCGCACAAGAAGGTGTTACAGGAAAAGCAATAAAACTTCAGTGGCCTCTTTTCCTCACAGTTCCCACAATGCAGCGAATCATCTTCTTGTGCCGTACCACTATAGGCCTCTAAAATCTCCACCATCTGTTTGTAGAAAAGGTTGGATGGAAGGCTGTTAATGTTGCTGCTAGGACACTCGGTGATTTGACGACATGTAGGGCAACTTAGCTGTCCTTCACGCTGCCTCCTCAGCCAAGCTTCGAGACAATTCTTACAGAAAGTGTGGAGACATTTTAGAATTTTTGGTTCGTTGACTTCACTGAACAGCTCCTGGCACACGGAACATTCCAACTCCTTTTTAACATCATCGAAAAAGCTTTTACCTTGAGCCATTGCTGAAGGTAATTAGCGAGACGATCGAAGCAAAGCGATTACCAGAAAGGCGGAAGTTTAACAACCTCGAATCTCACCCACTCAAAGACTCTTAAACAAGTGTCGTCCCCAGACCACCTTTTCTTATGCTAAATGAGGGCTCGATACCTGTAAGGCCTTGGAAACAGGATATATGTATTTCTGAAATTTATTAAACTAATGGACGGTCGGTTGATAAAAAAGGTGGTGATTTTTACCTGCTAAACGTTAATATTGAAGCTTAATTGCGTCTTAATCAACAAGCCTTTAAATCCACTCTTCTTTCCAAATCCTTCAACAAATTCTTCACGCGCCATAAAGTTATCATCGATAAGTATAAAACTACATAGCCTCCCACGCAGACGTTTTTAGCGGTTCGTTACGCGGAACGGCAGGAACGTGTGACGAACCCCTAAGAACGTCTGCGTGGGAGGCTAAAAACTACACTGCGGGAGATGAAACTGGCATTCAATGACTGAATGGTGCCACCATATCCTTTGTTAATTCAATCCTTTTATCATTCGTTCCTATTCTGTTGCTATATCAGCCTAATCATAACTGCATGCGCATGCATGGTTACTTAATTTTTGTGTTGACTCCGTTAGCCCTCGCTAAAATCCCCCTGTTGAACATCTTTTAACTTCGAGAATTTAGTGGACCCCTGTATTTAGTGACCACTTACAGCAGTCCCGGGGGATAAAATTGTCAGTAAATTACTATAAACCGAACAGTTATTAAGTGACCACTTGTCCCTTTCCCTAGGGTGGCCGCTAGATAGTTTACCTGTAGTTAGCAATTGGTGCTGAAATAAGTATTTAGGAATAATCGAGTTTTTCACGTTTTTCTAACCTTTGCAATATGTCCAATACATAAATGCTATTCACCACTTGTACTTCGTACTAAGCACTGAAGATATTTCTTGACTTATAGGATCAAGGGTGGTCAGTTTAAGTTTTATTATATTTGTCGATTCATGTTTGCTCTTTTTCCTTCATATAAGGTCATACTCTCGATTTAGCCCAGGAGAACCCCTCAAGTGACGTTGGGGAAGCTCCTCTTTTAGAATCCGAAATGCGATCGATCTCTGCATGAATGGACACAACGGCGTGTTAGTCTTTACACAAGAAATCCATATCGCCGTCGTCTCCCTTGCTCCAGGTGTAAATCGTCATGACCTCTTTTGGAAGTCAGATTGTTAACATTCCGTGGAGATACCATGCTTGATGTTTTGAGATATTTTTATTCCTTAAAGACTGGACTATATATTAAATTACCCTCACAAAATGTTAGTATTGATCCGGGGCCGGGTTCCTCGAAAGATGTTGCAGCTTAACCCAAGATTTAGCCACATTTTAAGCACTGTTTCCTTGTCTAAGAACATGTAACTCAAGTTTACAATTGAAAAACAGTTGATCCTTTACTCTGAGATACAGTAATGATAACATAAAATGTTACTCCAAGCATTGTATAGGCAAGTAAATAAAAAGTGGAGCAAAATTTTAATCCTGGATTAGCGCTAATCAGACCTAATCAGCCTTTCAAGAACCGGGGCCAGGTCCATTATGGGATGAACGGATGCATAGCTTGGATAAAGGGTGCACCACACGTACATGCAGAGAGTTCTTTTCTTAGGTAACCAAGAGGTGTCTAAGGGTAAAATTAGGGAGTGTACCTGAGGCAAGAAGGGGACGCTTCAGCATTCAAAGCCTCCTTGCGCCACTCCCCACCTCTAGACACGCTTTTTTCCAAATGTTTCCAGACGCTCCTTAACGTAGGCGGGGAAGAGAATGAAACAAATTGCACCATCATTAACCGTTTGTATGCTAAGCGGCATAATATACGTTTAAAGTAATAGCGATGGGAAGCTGCTTGGAAAATAACGGAATTTTCAAGTTTGCTAGTATTATTTAACGAACTTTTTACAATGATACCAACAATACTTATAGATAATACTTTCTTTACTTCTGTTTTCGAATTGAGCCTACTCCGAAATAATCGATATGTTGGCATCATGGGCGTTCGAAAGTACGTTTAGTCTCTTCTCTCTCTTGTGCATGCTCAAGTGAACGAGACAAACAAGCTTTCCAGGAAAAAAGTGAGTAGTTAGTCAGGACACAGGTCTGTTTCGGCCTCTAGCGCTTTTAGAAATGCCACTTCTCTTTTTTTGGACTGATACTCATTACGTTTTGAGTTTGGGATCGGACGACTTGTCTCTTGCTCATCGAAGGAATGTCCCTGGGTGGACAAGGCTTCTCGAAAAGCCTCATGCACAACATAACGTTTCGCAAACTCTTCCTGAAAAACGCTTAATGTTGGTTCATCAATGATGACAATGCGCACGTCACGAAGGGTACTAAACTTGGCGCCTTCACTTGAACTGAATTCTTCTATTGCAAAAAACATAACTTCAGCACAAGTGTCTTTTGGCATGCCGAAAATACCAGAGCTGATGGCCGTTAGGGCAATGGACGAAAGGTTTAATTTCACTGCCAGAGCAAGGCTTTCAAGACAAGCTTGCCAGAGAAGGGATCTGCTCATATCTTTTCCATGTCTGTACCACTCTGGACCAACAGTATGAATTACATAGCGACAGGAAAGACTACCACCACTAGTGTAAACAGCTCCGCCGACATCAAGTGTTCCATATCGTCTTATCAATCGATTGGACTCTTCTTGTATCTGACGTCCCCCTTTACGCACAATAGCAGCTGCGACACCACCACCGTGCTGAAGCCTGTCATTGGCTGCATTGACAATAGCATCAACAGCCTCCTCAGTGATATCCCCCTTGTATAAAGATAACTTCACATCGTTGTCCAGTACTTGAACTAAATGTTGCGTCTGTAAATATCCTAAAATTAAATTAAAAATCAAAATTACCTTCCATTTTATCCCCTTAGTTCACGTTCCTTGTTCTTGTTTTATTTTTTCAAAAATGTCTAATTTTTTTATTCTTCTGTTTACACACTTTCCATAATATGTTAAGAAAAACTGAAGTAAAAAAAGAATCATACTTTATTCCCTGAAACAAAAAGAAAAATGAGCAAACATGCTATAACAAGGTTTGTCTGGTTTGACCCGAATTGCCGAATCTACACTGTTCATAATTAGTCTGTCGCGCTCCTGAATTTGATTCTGTTAATCATAAAGTATATCTTCCCAGCTTTATGATGCGCACGATCCATCTTAATAGGGGAAGGGGCACAAACAAATCTTATATATAAGTCCCAAGTGATTTGCCGTCACTGCATAGCACCACACCCTAAGAAACTTAGACACTAACACTGCACTGAGGATGCATGGTCATGGTCAGAAAATGATACGGAGTTGTCCCTTGTCCTTGACGCCCCACAAGAGACAGATCGATGAAGTGCCCTGAAATGGGGCCTAAAGTATTTCGTCCTACTATAAGGACTAACCATTTACACGTGTCAGAACAAAGGCGGAACTAATTTCTTAGTAAGCTAGCCAGTTTTCAGTTGTCAGCTGTCTTTGTAGGCCATAAATTCGTTTTTAGCAACTGTCCTTCGAGACATTTATCTTATTTATTATATTCAATTACACTTGTAAAACCAGTTAACCTTCTTTTTTAGATTAGTATAACAGTCGATCTTTTTATACAACTGAGACTCTTGATAATACCTGACGGTTGGGGCTGCCTTTTCTTTTTTTTTTCACTTCAAGTCGGAATGGACTGTCAACGATTGGCTCACCGTCTACAGTTATACACACTTCAAATTTTCCTGCAATCTTGGGTTTGTACTTTACTTCGTAGCAGCCATTTTTTAAGTCTGTTATTTCGGGGGCTATGACGTTTCCTGTATCCGCTGATCGGATGTCAACAGCGACTTTGTCTACCCCAGAGTAAGATATTTGTCCCTGCGAATCCCTTGTTTCTATCTTAAAAGAGCACACTTCGTCTCCAGTACCTTCGGTAAGTCCCTTGCCATTTGCTGTCGTGAGCATTGGGTCGGTTTTAGTGAAGATTAACTTTCCAAGCACGTCGTTCATTGACGGTGATGTATCATTTGGAACGTACTTGACGCATGAAAAATTCAGACTGACGAGAAATTCCGAAGAAAGTTTTTGAAACCTTTGATCCAGTATTTCTTCCACGTTCAAAATCTCTGGTAGATTTTCTCGAGCAAGAACGTCGCTGCTAAATACCAAGCTGTTGTCTATCTCAATGAGTTTTTCGTCTAAGCGGGACATCTGGGCTGAAAATGTACCTTGAAAAGAATTTTTCTGCTCGAGCAACTTATTGGTCATGGCTGCCTCATTTTGGCGAATGAAGCTGATCCATTGTTCAGCGACTCTGTGAATTTCACTCGTCGCTTGATCAATGCTTAGAAGCATCCTTACTTTTTTCTTCTCCAACGTTTGTTTTTGGTCCCTTAAACGACTTGCAATTGCTTCAACGTCTTTCATTTTACTTGTTATGTCGGATTTCTTGTTTTCAAATCCTTGCTCAAGTGAAACTATGTTGTGGTTCTTATCGTCACGGTGCTCGAGTATGGCGCAATCACGACAAATGCAAATGTTGCAGTTTTCACAGTAAAATCTTAGCTCATCCTTGTGTTTCTTACATACGTTGGATTTTCGGGCGTAATCTTGCACATCGGTCGACTCAAATTTTCCAATTTCCTTGACAAGGTGGCCTTTAAACAACTTCCATCTACTGTGGGCGCCAGCGCATTCCTCACACAAGAAGGTGTTACAGGCAAAACAATAAAACGTCAGTGGCCTCTTTTCCTCGCAGTTCCCACAATGCAACGAATCATCTTCTTGTCCTGTACCACTATAGGCCTCTACAATCTCCACCATCTGTTTGTAGAAAAGATTGGATGGGAGGCTGTTAATGTTGCTGTTAGGACACTCGGTGATTTGACGACATGTCGGGCAACTTAGCTGTCCTTCACGCTGCCTGCTTAGCCAAGCTTCCAGACAATTCTTACAGAAAGTGTGGAGACATTTTAGAATTTTAGGTTCGTTGACTTCACTAAACAACTCCTGGCACACGGAACATTCTAACTCCTTTTTAACATCATCGAAAAAGCTTTTACGCTGAGCCATTGCTGAAGGTTTAATAATTGAGGCGATTGAAGCAACGCGATTCCTAGAAAAGCGGAAGTCATTCTCGTCTCCAGAGCCCGTCGTTCCTTGGTCACGTGGTAGGGAAACGAGGGGCTCTGGAAGCAGCCGTTACCGGATGTCAGAAAATTTCTGACATCCGGTCGCGTATGTGCAGGAGTTACAAATATCACTGCTCATGCTCTTAACGGATTTTTGTCCCTCGTCGCTCCACTGGGGGAAAAATGTTACTTCCTGAGCTCTCTCCAGGGAGTGGCTTCTTTGGGATGTTTTGAAAAGGAACCACTTCACTCAACTTGGATTCACTGTTAATTTGGAGTTAAGAGAAGAAGACAGTAACAGAAACCGGCTGAACACACTGTTGGTTGGCAGAACTGAGATAATTAATCGGCAGACTATCGTCTGAGTTATGTGAGTTTTTTGTTCAATACGTTTGGCGAACAAACATTGGGAAAGCAACATCGCGAAGATCGATATAATGCGGGGAAAAGTCAATCTAAAAAGGTTATCTTGTTCCATGTCCTGCAACTGCTATCTTACTTCAAAACGCTTTTTGAAACGAAACCATTCATGTGTTGTGTTAGGAGAGTAAAATATATATTCCATTTCGCTCGAGCTGGTTGTGTTTTTTCCTATGTTTATTTCCTTTTGTGGTGTCGCGTGTCGTGGTTTTAATTTTGCCCATGAGCTTTTGTGTACAACACGTGTTAGACAACCGAAGGATTTACGTCGAGACAAATCCATATTAATTAATTTACCGACCCAGGGTAAAACACATATATTACAAGGTTTGTCCAGGGGAAATGACAGTCCAATACACCTCCATGGGCTTCCATGCATGGCAACTTTATACATTACTGAGTGAATCCAATTCAAGTTCAGTTCTATCTATATATCAACCCTAACTGAAACTTGAACCCCAGTTTCCAAACCCTAATCATAAAACTTTTGGGTCATTTGGTGTTTATGGGGGCATTCAGTGTTCTGCTAAAAGGGTTTATCCTCCTAAAGATTTCAGGTATCATCTGCTAACTAAAAATCATCAGCTGTTGTAGGGGTATAAACAATTATATTTACTTTTGATTACCAGTTACTAATAAAAAGTGTTTCCCAGGACACTAGTTTAGTACAGAGAAACCTGTTTAAGTACCACTTATGAGCTCATGGGTTACACATCTTTGAAAGGGGTTTTAAGGTTTTTTTTCTTAGGGGAGGGCTTACAACTAGGGGGACATTTTTTCTTGTTCACTGGTAAATGGGCTTATAACCGGGGGGCTTATAAGTTGGGGGGGGGGACTTAAATGCAGTAGTTTATGGTAGCCTGTGCCAGACATTCAGGTATTGGGGAAAGTGCAATGAAAAGAAAACTAAAAAAACCCGCTTTTTTTAATGCTCTACTTCTCTATCTGAATGTCTAGAATGGGTTATCATAAGCTCTATAGCAATACTTTCTTATCTGGAACAGTGAAATGTAGAGTCATGTATGCACTGTATGCTTTAAGAGATCCCCGCGTTAAGAAGTACACTTTGATTAACACACAACCCAAAAGCACCGGCTTTCTTGGGTAGCTGCTCTCATCATGTTTTGAGACTGGAGTGCAAGACCTGCAAGGTTTGAAATTGGGGATAGAACTTTGGATCAGGCCTGAAATAGGATAGTGAAAATCACATAGTTTGGTCAAACTTTGGCAAGGCAAGAAGCATACTGTGGGGTGAATCTGAACTGATTTTTGGGGGGTAGTGCCCCACCCCCAATCCCCACCCTCTGCAGTTGTAGTGAAACTGAATGTGGTGCTTTATAGAGTTTAAGTACAATATCTGCTCACAGGTTTTGATAATGTATAATTTTTTAGTTCCCTTAAAATTCGTTATTTTGTGTAATAACATGGGGCCTCCAACTGGGAAAAAGGTTTAACCAGAACTGAATCATTGACCAGTGGAAGCAAGTTTTAATTTGGCTCATCATTACTTGTCAATAATCAAGTAAACTAAGATGCCCTATCCTTCAGTAAGCCAATGCTGTGTGCAAGCTCAAGGAGCGGTGGAGAGCAGGTGTGGCTAGGATTGGCGAGTAAACTATGATCAAGCTATAATGTTATCCAGTCCCTGTCAAAGGTGACACACTGCAAAATCCAGTTGTTATTATCAAAAACCACTTACCCCAGTATGATGCAAAATAGACTACTCTAGGCTGTTGTTCATTTATCATTTTATTTATTAACACGTCAGTTGTCCCTAACATCGTCAAAAAATCTAGACCAGTGTTCACATAATGTATGCCTAATTATAAACAGTTAAGTTTTCTTCTATTTTAGAATTCTTAAACCAAAAAAGTTGAGAACATTGTGCTACCCTATGTAGTGATCAGATAACATAATTATTTATCAAGAAAAATTGTGCTAAAGCTGCGCTTCTTTGTTAACTGTTCATCAGTTATAAATGACCCCAGAGCCCCTTGTTTGTCTTTGAAAAAATGCCACACGACTGGAAGCCAAGCAAGGACTGTTAGGATGAGAATATCTTCTTGCAAAACATTTGTAACAAGTGGGCCACATAGCCTTTCCTTTCACAGCCCTATTCTTACTGTTAAAATAAAAACTGAAAGAAAGCCTCCGAATTATCTAAGCAGGATTTAAGCATTAATTAAGTGGAAGAAAACGTAGATTGGAAAGAGTACTTGCCCTATCATCTTTACACAATTAAAAAATTCCCTTTTGCATGCAGCCCAAAATGATTAATAAGCAATTCAGTTCTGGCTTTGTGTACTGCCATTAGTGGTCTTATGAAATAAAGGCATATAACAAAATATTATCTTGACCTTAGTATAGCATAGGAGAGGTAATTTCAGCAGAAAATACAATAAATTAAAAGCACACAGCAATAACCTTAACGTACATATCATTTCTGTAATCAAATAGTCGGAGCTTGATTTCCTTTCCTACTGTAGCACCGACGAATATCCAGAGGAATTAGAAAAACTGATAAGACTAATTAATAACGCCATACAAGTACAGTATCAATCGCTTAATTTTTAACGTACGAGCAAGGAGCAACAGCAAGAGCGAACTAACCATCCTCCTTTCATTTTTCCAGGAGATGCGACGGTCGAGACAGGGGAAAAGTTTAGGGCACAACGAAGACAATACTTTACCTGCAATTCTCTTCTTCACTACTATTGCATATAAACAAAACAGGATTGTCGCAATCGACGAAAACTCAGACACGGATTTTACGTTTGCAGGTCGAGAGGGCACGAAGTAATGATGTTATGCGCAGTAGATTATATTTTTAATTTGCTCTGCGCATTGATCAATTGCCTTCAGCCAATGAAAGAAAACGTATTTTCCGTTGCGTCCAGAGCCACTGGTCGGTTACAAATTAAGCCGAGTGGCTCTGGGGACGACAATGAGCGGAAGTTTAAAACCTCGCGGTTGCGCACAAGTCGTGTGGTCTCCAGACCACTTTATTATGCTAATTGCCGCTATGTCTGTGGGCATGATACTCCCAAAGCCTCACCCTGCTGTCCAGTACTGTTAGCGGGTTAGCAAAAATATCAACTCATTCTACTACTTGGTAATTTAAAACAACAAAACTCTTTCAAAGGCCGATTAAAAGCCTTTATCTGACGCCGGGCAGTAAGTTAATGGTCCCTAGAAGCATTCCAACGAGTTTAAATTGAAAATGACGCAAATTTTAGAACATTTATTCGTTAAACTGACATCGCGAAGTTTCAAACCGGTGTCATTTCAGTCTACAAATTTTTAAGTTAAGAGTGAACTGCAACGAAAGAATGCCTGGTTAAGGCTTACATAACAACTTGAATAGTTAGCAAAACACTACTTTTCTCGCGGTCCGATAAACAACAGGATTCCGCATGGAATAGACAACAAAACGGAATGAAACATAGTACACAAATTATCACCTTCTTATCTGCAAAAACTGGCCTATGGTGCAATGCCATTAGAGCCCGCTGAAACTAGACCTAGATCCAATTTTTCTGAGTCGAGAGTTGCTTTTCCAAGGTACAATCAACTAACCTAAACACCGACGAAACAATATTAATGGTTGGCACAGAATATTTTGACGAAACCGCAGTTCAACAACGCGATCACATACCTGTCAACACCATGCGGAAATCACACAATCACACACTTTCGCGGCACTGATAAGACTATCCACAACCACGCATAATCTTCTCACGTTTAACATAAGCGAAATATCATCGAATAACTCGGAAAAACTCAGCCTATTGCCAGATAAACACCTCTGGACTTTTCTCTTACACTTATTCAAGTTCCCGGTTGTAGAGTCACACGGTCGACGGATCACCTCAGCCTGGTTTTCACACCAGAAAAAAACGACGTCTTGGCCCGGGTCAAAGTTCACTGGCAATTTTGCTCTCACCTAATTCATTTGACTCCTAAGAGCCTGTTCCTGAGGCCAAAGACTTAGTGGTCACCTTAGAAAAGCGAACAATATCGTACCTTTCTGTCTCAGTCCGGATCAGGGTGATTGATCCGTTTAGCCAAATGTGAACGAGAATATAATTCGATATTGGACGATGCAGACTCTGCGAATCGTAATAACTTTGTCCCATCTCAGAGCTTTACATGATGCTCTCCGGGAAACGTTTCTCAAGGTGACCAATATATAAAACTAAACTGCTAACCGGCACCGAAAACCTGTCTACATCCACTTCTACACAGATCCCTAACCACAAAACAAGCAAAAAAAAAAAAAACGACATAAGCAGGCAACACAGTAAACATATGTCAAGCTATTAGACAGGGGAAATTGAGAAAAATTACAAAATGTTTGCTAACCCAGTTTTCATAACTCCAGGTAGATATGTGTTTGTGAAAATTTATCAAAGTAAAGGAAGGAGCCATACATTCCTGAACAAATTCATTTTTGCTCGGTTGATGAAAAAAAAGAAAAAACGTGTTGATTTTTACCTGCTAAACGCTAAGCTGAATCATAACTGCATGCATGGTTATACCTCATTTTTGTGTTGATTCCATTAGCCCTTGCTAAAATCTTCTATTCCCCAGTGAAACTGTCGAACCTCTTTTAACTTCGGGAATTAAGAGGACCCCTGTATTTAGGTTGGCCTATAGTTCGCAGTTGGTGCTGAAATAAGTATTAGCAAGCATTGTACTTGAATAATCGAGTTTTTCTAACCTTTCCGAGATGAATGTCCAATACATATATGCTCTGCACCAATTGTACTTTGAACTAACAAGCGAAAATGCATGTTTCCTCTTTCCTTCACGTTTAATCGTAGACTTGATTTAGCCCCAGAGAACTCCACAAGTTATAGTAGGGAAACTCATCACTTCGAATCCAATCCCTGCATGAATCAGATGAATGGCACATAACTACAGTTTTTTACGCACAAGAAAGCCATATCCCCATTCACTGTCTTCATTAATTATCCCAGTAGTAAATCGTCATGACTCAAGTCAGATTGTTAAAATTCCGGTAAGATACCATACTTGTTGTCTTAGGTATTTCATTCCTATAAGACTGGATTATATCAATTACCCTAACATAACGTTTAATATCCAGGTCCTAGTTCGGGATGAACGGATGCATAGTTTTGATGAAGGGTTTATCACAGAGGTAGAAAGTTTGTTTGTTAGGTAACCAATGGGTGTCTATAAGATGAAATTGGGAAGTGGACTTGGGCCAAGCAGGGACGCTTCGGCACTCGAACAAATATCACTTTCAGTATCTTCTTTACCACATCTTTCCAGACGCCTGCTTTATGCAGGCGTGCAAGAGAATGAAATCTAAATAGGAAGGTTCTTGGAAAAATATCGGAATTTTCAACTTTGCTAGTATTATCTAATGGAAAGGTTTTCAATTCTTTTAAAAAACTCATGGATACTATTTAAGTACTTCTGTTCCCAACCTACTCTAGTTTTCTTTCTATATTTTGATGGTACAAAATAGCAAATCCCCTAGCTAACATATCTGGCAGGCTACAACCTTGCACAAAAGTGTTGAGACAGTTCCATCAATTTTCTAACTTTTGAGTGAAAAGTAAGCCCCCTTCTTCATCTCCTTTTTTTTAGTAGTTTTTCTTGGAGTAAAAACCAATGTGTATAATTGTCATGCTGTCCTAAACAACATTGGATAAAGGGAGGGGGAAACAGGCATTCATTTGGCTACGGTCTTCATTTTTGCCAGGATGACAGGAAAAAATAGGTACTTTTGCGATCAGTCACAACTGGTTTTGTCCGAGGTTGTAGATAACATTACAGTCATAGAGTATTACAAGCCCACGTTATTTTGGCATCTAACTTAAAGGGCTTGTGTCACGGCAGTCCAGTTCATTTTGTTTAATTTTGCCAATTGCTCGCCCGCAATCGCTATGGAACTTAAAGTAAGCAAAGAAATTACATGTAAATGACAAAATTAAAGATTCGAGACAAACAAATTTGTCTCTTGATCATTACTTTTGAAGTTGCAAACAGCAGAGATTAACTTTGAAAAACTGTTAGGCTGAACAGTTTTTAAAATCCCTATAGTTTCAATCCGTTTCAATATTCTTCAATTTTGCCCATCCGTGGAATCTGTTGTATCTGTTGAGTTATTTTAACCTTCCTTTAATGTTTGAAGCCGTTATTTTTATGTTTCTCTTAACCTGACGGGCATTTTGTAATTACCTAATTTGGCTGAATTTCGTGACACAGCTCCTTTAAGTTGTCTGATATCAAGAGGGGATCTCCTTCCACAAGCTAGTCTTTGGCTTCGTGAGGTCCCCTCACCACTAGACGCTCTTTCACTAAATTATATTGTTTTCTTGCTTTCTATTCTATAGTTTATTTCAATTTAATCTAAATGTTATTAAATGTGTTGAATAATCACGTTAGCCTACGCACAAGGCCTCGAAAATAAGCTCGTATAGTCAAAAATTGTGCTATAGAATAATGTATCATTCTTGGGAAGGTGTAATTCCTTTTTCAGCCAGCTGCTTCTTCACGCGATCAATATAGCTGGGGTCTGGGTAGCCATAACTGCAACGGAAGATCAAGGATTGTATTAAAATTAGACAGCATACAATAACAATCTTCAGGTTATGTTGAATACTTTCCTTGTACAGACCCCCTCAAAAGATAAAGTAGAAGCACAATTGAGAATAATAGACTGTCTGGCAAACGTAAACGAGGAATGTGAGAACCCTTCTACCCAGCTCTGGTTACGCTTACCACGTAAGCTATATCCTTAAACAGTAGACATGCTGATACTCATAGAGTGAAGAGCTAAGTTGGAGAAGTACTAAAGGTTAAGGCACCCGTGGCACAGGACACCCTTTACCAATGCCTTTCTAGCATGAAACAGCCAATAGGCCCTTTCAGCTAGTCATTCGTGTGGTAAAAAACCGCCATGCTGGAGGACGCACTGGGACAAGACAAACAAAGGAAATTACCATTTTAGATGATACGAGCTCTTTGTCTTGTCCCAGCACGTCACTGGCTCTCCAGTATGACGGATTTGTACCACGTGAACTTCCAGCTGCAACTTGTGCAAGGGGCCTTTTCTTAAACTCTTCTACTAAACCTTTTGCAACTGGAAGGGGTGCTTAACTATGGAAAGGCTAACTCTTGCACTGAGAGAGTGAAACAATTTTGAACACTTTTTTCTGTCTATGGAAACAATGCGACGAGTTAGTCCATACGTAAAGGTTCTATACGAATGACGGTGAGGGTGACGATGAGTCAATGACGACAATGAAAATGAGGATCATTAATTAATTAGTCGATCTTACGTCAGAGCAACCCACGATAATAAAGAGCATAGCCTCAAGAAAAGACGAAATTGAAATTTGGTCAAATTACGAAAGTTTCTCAAACATTTAATGTCGTCGAAACTAGCTTCAATTTCATTTGCATAATACTGTACCTGGCCGGACCTCCACGTTGACTTGTCTTAAGTTCAACGCCGTTCCAAATGATATTATTCTCTTCTCCGGTAGTCGGAGACTTCCCAATTGCAAATAGGACCCCTGCATCAAAAGCCTTTCGTAACAGGCAACACACTTCTTTACCATCTGAGTTCAAAGGCAGGAAGGCTGTAGTGTTCAAGGCTTTGTAAGGCTTTCCTGGATTGGGATGTTCTGGACCTGGAAGAAATGTTAAATTCCATAGCTTCCAAACTTGCTTCCTTTCTTATTTGGACGACGGATTATTTTGTTAACTGCTTACAGTAATTCACAGGGAAACATACTAATTTGAGAAGACCAAACGATCCGCCGATCAGCTAGAAATAAAGGGTCGTACGACCGCAAATGTGTAGCTGTTACCGGCTACGGAAAACAAAACAAAACAAAACGACAAGTACCTTGAAACCCTTCGTCAAAGTTGAAGTGCGTTACAATAATTCCACAACTGTCGTACCCTGGAAGTGAACTATTTGGTTCCGTCACCCAGGTCATGCTTCCAACTGGTTGGTTTCCTTGACGAAGACCTTCCTTTCGGCACTCTGGACAAATTATTCCAGCACCATCTAAATAATCTGAACACGACTTGCAGTAGTGATGATTATTTCCACACCGCCAAAGAAAAACAGGATCATTATGTAAATTCATGCACATCAAGCATCTTTGTCCACCCTGATGGCCATTCTGCCCTTCAAGAAGCATTGGTGGACCTAAAAAGAAACAGGATTGATAAGGATCAAATCTATATTCAGGTTTAGAGTCAAGAATTCTGTGAACAAAAGCATCTTTCTATTTCCCGGATATATTAAGAACCAGTTTAATGACCACCTCCCAGTTGGCTTGCCAGCTCAATTGGTTGGAGCGCTGCGCCGGTATCCAAGAGATCAGGGCCTCGACACCCGGCAAGTCAGATTGTCGGTTTTCTTTTCGCGACTGCATAAGTTGCGTCTTTACCTGTGATGATATTCTCTGCATTTGATTAAAATCAACTTTTTTTATTTATCTACACAGAAGATTTGATATGGGACGTTGAACTGTAATATATTTACACAAATATAGTTGTTATTTCAAGGTTACAGATTGATGTCAGTGTAAGTAACCGGCATATTAACATAAGTGCTGGCTGTGAAATAAGCAAGAAATTCAAGTGCTGCAAGAGGCGTAGCCAATTGAGTAGGCTAGGAACAACTCGAACATTCTACAGCCAGCAAGTTCATTTTTTTTGCCGGTAATTCACGAAAGACTCGCAAGCGAGTGATCACTTTTCTTATTTGAGCTGGGAGCTCTGCATTTCAAAAGTGACGATTTCTAAAGGAACAGTTAGTAATGGATGTAGTAGCAAAAAATTGTCAAATGACATCATTATTCATGTCTAAATGGCAATTGATATAAATCGGAAAAAGTTTTCAAAGGGAAGATAATACTACAAAAGTAAATTAATGTAAAGCTAAAATTATTGGTGGAGTTTTAGGCCATAACATTAACTCTCCAATCAGCCGATGATCTTCTCACACTTATTAATACCCATTAGAGGGGAAACAAGGGAAATCACCACCGTGAAAAAGGCCGGATCTCGCATACTAATAACAATAACATTTTTGGAACTTAAGCCGTGAATCTGTCCAGGAATTTATGCTTTATCAAACACTAGACACTGTGCTCTATGCGATACCCACCTAGTCACTTCGAGGTTGGTATAGAAAAACTCACCTAGCCTCGTTTTTTTTACATACCAACTTCTTGGTCTCTAGATATGGGAGAAAAGACCGTGTCCCGTGTCGCAAAGAGCGTGCAGTTTGAATGTCAAAGAATAACACTAAATGAAGACAGCCTATTTGGGCACGCTACCGGAGTTTGCTGCAGATATAACGATTTAAAGCGTACAGAATCGGACTGTATACCTGTAACATGGTCTTGATTTTCAGACTCCTGGGTATCCCTCCGTTCTCCAACCTTGTCTTTATCGACGTCAGTTACGTCTTGATTTGAGAATGAGGGGTCAGATGACGAACTCAGACAGCTGGCGGAAGGGTCATCTTCAGGTGTGCTTTCCATTGCTGACTGCGTTTCCTTCGGCTTTGTTGACCGAATGATCACTTCATCTTGTGGCGAAACTGCTTTATTGTTGTCATTGAGTGCTGGGTTTGTAGGTTGCTCAGATTTTTGTTCAGTTTTCATGCCTGGTGTAGAGAAACCTTCCTCCTTGAGCTGCTGAGGGCGCTGTTTATCGTTACTCACATCTTTGTTATTTGAAGGTTTGTTACTTCCCTCCCTTGAAGATGTGTTAGGTGTATGATCTGTTCTGTCCCCATCGTCTGCTTCGACTTTGGAATTTTCCGAGTCAAAACTTTGGTTGGCTAAGTTTTGAAGTTGCTTTGCGTTTTGCAAATCGTCACTGCTAGGTTCATCATCGTCCTCCGCGATTTTGGCTTTACCAGTCTCGTCAACATTGCTCTTCTGATCACCTTCCCCATGAATATTCAAGGATTTCGCGAGAGTTTTTCCTTCCTGTGTAACAATAAGACCAGGTGGTCGAGCTCCTCCCTTTGAAATTTCTGAAGAGTTTATCCCCAAATTGGTACCTCTGGTTGCATTTTTAGCTGTTTCATTACCACTAAAATTGGCAGCTAGATTGCCTCTTTCTCTTCCTCTTCCTTTTCCAGAGTATGATGGACGAGCATTACTTTCTTTATACTTCACTGGATCTACCACTGAGGCTGGATCTTTAACTCCTGAGTTACAATTTTCTTCATCCTTGTTTAATTGGCCCGTTGATAGATTGTCCTTATAACCATTTTTACCACTTTCATTGACGCTATCGGGTGTGGTGCTGCTCTGCCCGACCTCCTCTAGATTAGTTGGCACACTTGGGGAGCCAACATCTCCGTTCTGCTCTCGTTTCTCTCCTGAAAATGCTTTGTCGCCAAACTGTGCCTGCCGTGTTGATGGAGATGAATCATTTCTTTTCGACTGATGTGCACTATCTTTCGAGTTTGGGGCCGTAGAAGTTGACTCCTGCTCATCGGAGGAACGTCCCTGGGTGGACACTGTTTTTGGTGATGCCTCGTGTGCAACATAGCGTTTCGCAAACTCTTCCTGAAAGACGCTTAATGTTGGTTCGTCAATGATGACGATGCGCACGTCACGAAGGGTACTAAACTTGGCACCTTCACTTGAACTGAATTCTTCTATTGCCAAAAACATGACTTCAGCACAAGTGTCTTTTGGCATGCCGAAAATACCAGAGCTGATAGCCGTTAGGGCAATGGAAGAAAGGTCTAATTTCACTGCAAGAGCAAGGCTTTCAAGACAAGCTTGCCAGAGAAGGGATCTGCTCATATCTTTCCCATGTCTGTACCACTCTGGACCAACTGTATGAATTACATGGCGACAGGAAAGACTACCGCCACTAGTGTAAACAGCTCCGCCGACATTAAGTGTTCCATATCGTTTTATTAATCGATTGGACTCTTCTTGTATCTGACGCCCCCCTTTGCGCACAATAGCAGCTGCCACACCAGCGCTGTGCTGAAGCCTCTCGTTGGCTGCATTGACGATAGCATCAACAGCCTCATCGGTGATATCTCCATTGTATAAAGATAACTTCACTTCGTTGTCCAGTACTTGAACTAAATGTTGAGTCGGTAAATATCCTCCTTGCCTTGATCTTTTGTCATTGACCGAAGTACTTTGTCCTGTGCTTCCTTGGCCACGTCTTGTCCTTTTACTGTTGCTGTCGCGGGCTATACCAAGTTTTTCCTTCAAAAATTGTACATAGCCTCTAATGCTATTCTTCTCCGCGTAGACTACTAAGTTTTTATCTGCCTTTTCAACTATTATGGGATCATCAGCCTCAGCAACACTAACGACTTGCTGGACAAGTCTTTCATTGGCACTGTCTGAGAGTTCTACTTCCTCCCGTGCCATGTTTGGATAAAATTCCTGATAAAGATTGATGAAAGCATCACAGCCTTCTTGGAGACGAATGAGATTGTTTAGCCCTTTCTTTGGACATACGTTCACTTGGTTTGTGTTTTCAATCCAATCAATCTCCACAGAGAACGTTTCTTGAATGTCTTGAAGTTTCTTCTTGTGTACTCGTTTCAGTAGTTGCATAACCTTTGGTTGAACATCAAAGCTGCTGGACTCAGAGATGCTAGATGAATTACAGCCACGTTCATCCAATCTATTGGAACCATCTGCCTCGGTTTGTACTGAATTTCTCTCTCCATTTCCCTTCACTAGGTGGTGGAGAACTTTATTCGCTGCTTCAATTTGGATAAAAGTCCCAGAAAGAATGAAACACCCTGAGCTGTTGCGATATCTCACTCCTGTGTTGGACTTTAGAATTTCAAGGATGCTCTGAGTATCACGAGGAAACGGATCAAATGTACCAAAGTTAACACGCGCCTCAACTTGCGTAAGAACCTGTAAAAGAAAAATCGATGAAATAAAGGAAACGTAACTGCCGGCATGCACAATTTGTCCGTTGGAACTGAGTGAAAGTGTTACCCAGAAATCGGAAGTCGACATGGTGCTGGAAGGTATTGCACGCATAATTTACCCTGGCCAACGTCTTTGCCAATCATGTTTAATACGGATCACATTATTCCTACTTTAAGAACATCACACCAAGCTACTTAATCAATACTCCAAGAGATACCTTGGTATTAGTAAAGCTCATATCCATTGAAGAAGCCAAGAGGAAGAAGATATTAAGACTCTTGATTATTTTGTCTAGAACAATCAGAACCCAGGTTGATTTCAGCTACGTCTTTACTCGATTGGAAGACAGTCTCATTGAAAAGATGCTTTCTTCACAGAATTATTAGTGCATTAGTTTGTTAGTAACCAATGTAACTTTCTTTTACTAACCTCAGGGAATTGCTCGGGAGTAAATCGCTCAAGCTTCAATTTTGACCCATGAAGTATGTGAGAATACTTCAGGACGTTCTCCACAACTAGGTAATGCAAAAAAAATACATATCTCATTCTGTACATGTATTGCATTAAAACCATGTTTTCAAGGTTAGTAATTTTTTAAAATCAAGTAGGTTTAGGAGGTCGGAGGCTTATTGGTAAGGTCACTCTTCAGACATCTTATTTAAAAATTGAAACCTACGTTTGAGGTATTTCCTAGATTCAGTTAAATTCAACTGTGCCCATTACCCCGCTCAAGTGCAGGGCAGATGGCACAGCCACTATTTAAGATATTGCACAGAGAAAGTGCAGCCTATGGGACGTTAATGCAGATAATTTTAGGAAAATAATGTCACTGATTGCCTTTTTTGACTTAAAAGTACACAAATCACAAAACCACTACCCCCTCATCCCATTGATAAGGTGCCTTGATCCCAACAACTTCTTTTCCTGCGGTAACCCCTGCAGAAAGTAACAATTATTCTTAAAATTTGATCCGTACCCTCTAGAAAAGAGGTTTCACAGCACTCTTCATAACAATTGTATTCACCATCCCTACATGAATGAAGTAACACTCCCTTTATCTCTTCAGAAGTTTTTCTTGGAATTTTTTTTTCTCCGGCGACCTTTGACGATGCCATAAGGTTTTATTTTGATGAAGGTATTCGTATATGACTATTGTACATAATATGCATACAGTAGCTTCGCAGCACCGCTATATAAAACTGAGTTTTCAAAATTTATTCGGCCGACGAATCACTTTCTGCATGAGATGAAAGCCATTAGCTTCTGCAAGCTCGTCGAACCACGATGGCGAAGCCGGAAGTACTGTCTATCATCATCGACCATGAAGTCAATTCGCGTTCAAACATTACTACAAATAAATATAACATGAAGAAACTAGTTTCACACAAACCTTCTTTGCTCTCAAAGGTGACAACGGCTGTTCCTTTCTGTGGAATGTGTACATTATCGATCTCTCCTCCGCCATTACTTTCCCTCTGAAAATAAATAATGATGTTTTTATCTGCAGTCTGCGACGCTATATTAGTTACAACTACGCTCCTCGCCGCCTGCTCTGTAGTAAAAACCTTCGTTTCAGGTCCATGGGACAAAATTGGACCTGATCCTCTCGACATTTTGGGGGAATTGTCCACGGAATTCGGTCAACTTGCAAATCGAAACCTCGACTTTGGTTCCGAGAAGAAAATTGAGTGAGACTGGGAAGGAATAAATCAACGTGCAAACTTCCGGTTGTCACCTGGCACGAAAAACAGTATAGATTTACATTTTTATACAAGGGATCTCATGATTGATTAGAGTAATCGGTAATTTCTAATGACTCTGGGCAATTTTTAGGTCACACTAGGCAATTTTTAGGTCACACTTTACTTCTGTTTGAAACTTCTGGCGAAGAAAAAATACGTGGCGAAATTCGATAGGTCATGCAGCTTTCGGGGATTCCCGGAAAAGATATAATCACTTCCGGTCATTTATTTCGAATTCTAAGAAAACCGTGGTCTTGCTTTGTAAACTGCAATTCCACCACTTCTTCTGGAGAAATGGCTTCTCTCGTTCCAGAAAACGAGGAAATCGCAGGTTCAGTAGTTGTACTAGTGAAAGGGGACATAAGCGAAATTGACTGGACAAGCATTTCTCGTTCTGTATTTGTAACAGGCTTTCGAGGACACACAACACCCGAGGATCTTATTATTCACTTTCAGCGTCGGAAAAATGGCGGCGGGGATATTGAGAAAATCATCCTGAGCAAAAAAGGAACAGCAGTAATAACATTTGATCGTCCTGAAGGTGAGAGGAATAACGAATTATTATTATATATTGAGTTAAATTCAGTGTTAACTCAAATATCCAGCAGAAGCTTGTACGATTATGTGTAGATGTAAATTTACTTCCTTGTTACATATTTAATGCAAGGTTTCCCGATATTTTGGTTTCGCTTTGGACCGAATCGTCACATCATTGCTTGTGTTATGACTCTAGAAAGCAACATCCACTTCTTTTAGCGGTGTGACCATACAATTACCTTAGAGAGTGATTATATGTTTATCACTGACCGAAGATACCAGAGAGTGTCTCATCATAAAGGAGGGTCGTACAGGGGGGGTCTCTCGCACGGTTCACGAACAGAAAAAACAGCGAATCACGGATCACGGCTATCAAAATTTCATTTTCCCGAATCACGAAAATAAACAAGTAAGGTACTCGTTTTAATAACCTTCTCTTACGGTAGAAAGAGTGTTTGAAGAAAGAAAAATCGTTAAAGGCTAAGTAAAGGCTGCTTATCGGAAATCACATACCTAAATCACTCTCGATGGACGACTCTGACCATTCGTCCACTTCGCGTTGTAACTGCCCGAAGAAACAACAAATCGTCGAAAGAATCTACCTCGTAATTGTCAGCAATAGGATATTCAGCGTCTGAGTCAGTGTCATACTCTTCCTCCTCTTCTACCTCGGCTTCCTCTACTACTTGAACATCTTCAATGGCCTCGTGCGATGTAGAAGGCGTAACAGTCGTAACGGTCGTAGCAGAAGTAACAGTCTCCTCTTCGACAGTGTTAGGGCTGAATGAGACTTTATCTTTAGGATAGTCTGATGTTCTGTACATGTTTAACGGCAATGTTCCGGCCTTGAACATGGTGGTCTCTTGTCTCACACTTCTCTGTCGTGCAGCCCTCCCATTATTTGTCGCCCACTCAATCATGAGGTCTTTTTCCTGCCTATTTAACTCCCTTCTTGCCTTAAGATGCTCCAGCTTCGGAATGGCATTTAGTGGAGTGCTCTGGCGCAACACGGGATAATATGATTTATCATGTGTGAAGTAGTAGGCACTCCAGGGTACTACACGCTTAATGCTTTCGTATACGGTATTTGCCAGATTCCGTGCGTACTGCAAAAGGGTAGGAAACTGGTCCTTGAAATGACCAACTGCGTGTAGGTTTTCAACCTGAACTGTTAGACAAGAGTACAGATCAATGGCGAAGCTTGGGTTATGTTCTTTAACTAACGCCTCCAGATCTTTCAGTCCATTTAATATCATGTTAACCGAACGCTTTGTCTGATTAGAAATAGTTCCTTGAAAACCCCTTGGTTTACCTGTGCTGGCATCGTTTACATCGTTGCTATGCGACAACGCTTTTTCCGTTGTTGTTTCCAAGTAACTGTCAAGTCCTTCCAGAAGCTCGATTGCTTATGGTAGGGAACGTTTTGGTACAGTCTGAAGTTTCATATGAACAGAAAAGGCTTTATACAGGAGACCAAGATGGCCTAAATACTTTACAATGCCTTTTATTGAGGTAATTAAAGTCGCCGGGAAAATTGAAACGTTTCACGAAAAGTTTCAAGTGACTTGAAAACCATCCTTACAACCGACATAGCGAACTTACGGTTTCTTGAGCTTTGAAGAAAGCGGAGCATGTCAATCAAGCTTAATTAATTGCGTGAAGTTAAACTTGAAGTAAAATAGCATCGCCCGTGTTTGAAGCTGTATTTTACCTGAAGTATTTAAAATTTACTTGTCTTGAAATATTTCTAAGTTAACTTTGTGCTACCATCGTCATCCTGACATAGTCGCCGTATTCTCTTGTTCTTCTTTTAACCTTGATTACTTATTAACCTATAGAAAAGTCGGCCCGTATCTTTCAGAACGGTCCTTGATGTCGTTTAATAAGAAGTAAATAAATTCCTACCTTGTAATGAAGATGTATTTCCTGATAGTAGCGGCCTCTCCTTGTCCCATTGCTCTTGTGTATTTATCGCAAAGGCCTTACTGCCATCTTTTCCCTTTTCGAGACGACAAAATTTAAGTTCAACACAGGAGCCGAGGCCACGTTTCTCAGCCTCTGCCTTTAATCCGGCAAATTCCGCGAACTTTTTAGTAAACACTGCCAAAGATGAATGTTCATCTGTAATTGGAAAGCGAACTCGTTCCTTTCCAAGAAAATTAAGCGAGCCGACAGACTTTGGGTCAACGTAAAATTCAATACATTCGACCCTCATCGTACTATACGTACTCGTCCCCTCCATGTCTCGGATGTTTCGATGTTTTGGATCACTGTCCTTTGATCTCCAGTGGCATAGGAGACCTTAGGCATAGGAATAGACATCTGATCCATGATAGGCATGTAAAGCACGTGAATTTGCACAATGGATTACTTTAATTAGAGCGAAGTCTCTTACTTGTCACATTTGATGTTTTCAGTCGTAAAATAAGTCTTCCAGAGCACTCGCATCTCAAAATCACGCCAAATAGAGTGGTGAAATCACGAATATCGGTTAATAATTCAAGTTCTTCACGGGTCACGCAAAACCTTCAGATCACGGATCACGAAGAATAATTTATTAAATTCACGTTTCACGGAAAATAAAATCAGCCAATCACGCATCACGAGAATACCCCTGTACGACCCTCATAAAGGGAGGCAAAATGAGTCAGATTTTAATATATATGTCGTATATGTAATTAATAAACAATAAACCCGTAAAGCGCTACAAGCAGCTAAAGTACGTGTAATACTGACAGGGGTACCCAATGACTGTTTTCTGTAAAATATCTGTTCGGAGAAGCAAATATTGCCTACAATTTTCTATTACATGAGGACGGCTAAAATTTCTTGACGACCGCTCCATTCATGTATAATTTTCTAAGCTCAACTAATAAATTCTCTACGATTTTCGGAAGTAGAATTTTTCACATTTCACTCCCCAGGTTATCCTATTTTTCGTAGAAAAAAGGAACGTAAAATTTTCGGATTCAAAAATGTGATGGAAAGGGGAATCAGAAAAATTCTCTCCTTCGTAATACGTTAAATTGCACCTATTTTTTTCGGGAAAATAATACTGAAGCCCTTGCAATTTCGAAAGTACTCATGCAAGTTCCCCTAGGATGACCGAACAGATACAAACTTTATAGCGCCGATTAGAATGCATTTCTAGATATCAAAAAGTACTCTGAATAGCCTAAAAAGTGTTTTCAGTGTATTTAGGAGGAAACCGTCGTTGCGTGCTCCTGTACTGACTTCTTAAAAACTGGCTAGCTGTCTGTCTCGAAGGGAAATATATCTACAATAATCTAAACGGATGTCTTTCGAAAGTAACTATTTTCATTGTTGTATTTTTTTCTAGATTTTTCATCCATTCAACAACAAGAGCAGCTCTTTCAAGGGGTAATTTTGACAGTGAAGCCATATATGGACACAGTACTAACCAAGAATGATCAAGGCCTGGAGGTACCAGTTTTCAGTGTTTTAAAACTGTTTGTTTATTAGCGACTTCATTCCTTAAGCCTGACTAGTTTCTTAATCAATGCTTAATTAATAATATTATTTAACAATTAATGAATGAGGCTGAGTATCTTATGAAGAATTATAGAGATCGAGGAGGGTGTTATCTGTCGAGGCCGTAGGCCAAGGCGGATAACACCCTCCAAGATCTCCATAATTCTTCATATGATACGAAAGCCAAATTCAATTATTGTTTTATTATTCATTCAAAATAATTCCTAGTTTAAAAACATGGCTAAAACATGCTTACCTCCATTGATCCATCGATGTTAAGTTCATCTTCGATAGTACACGTTTATGGGTCGTTCAGCTCTGCAAATATTCTCCAAATAGTGGATGTCGCCCTTCAAGTTGCCTTCTTGCTGTTCTTGCCATGTTTTAAGCTATTTTTAGCTATTTTTATTTTACTCTTGAAACGAATGAAATGTTCGCCATTTTTCAAGTTCACAACCAAAACAACTCAACCTCATCCCCAGGTCTTCTTGGTTAACGGTGCATTAACCTGGAAGAATACTGCATTTTTGACGTCATTTTCTCACTAAACACAAAATTCTTCCAAATTTGGTCATCAGAAACTGGTTATGGTGAATTAAACGTGTGCTTTTAGCCAATCAGAATCGGGAAAATATTTTGAATGAATAATAATAAATAATAATAATATAATAATGTAATAATAATTATATAATAATAATAATAATAATAATAATAATAATAATGATAAATAATCCTCACCCCTATTTGAAGGTTTTCAGTGATAATGAACCAATAATTCAAATGGAACACAATAGACATAATATGGTTAAAAATCCCAACTGGTAGGTGGCGAACCAGTTGGC